CCCTCCCTCACTCTGTCACTAGTCACCCCACCCTCCCTCTGTCACTGTTACACCCCCTCCCTAACTATGTCACTGTGTCACCCCCTCCCTCACTCTGTCACTAGTCACCCCCTCCCTCTGTCCCTCATAACCCCCTCCTTCTCTGTTATGTATTGGGGTGTTATGCAGTCCACCTTCCAGTAGATGGTAGCATAGTGAAGTTATGCACTTGTTCTGTTCTGTTAGTCTCTCTTGTTTTTATGTTTATGTGTGTGTACTGAAGTAAAGAGAAGTTTGATTTTACTACAAGAGCCATTTTGTGAATATATAACATGCTAATACACTAAACTCTCTCTGTCACTGTGTCACCCCCTCCCTCACTCTGTCACTAGTCACCCCCTCCCTCTGTCCCTCATAACCCCCTCCCTAACTGTCACCCCCTCCCTCACTAGAGTGAGGGAGGGGGTGACTAGTGACAGAGTGAGGGAGGTGGCAACTAGTGACAGAGGGAGGTGGCGACTAGTGACAGAGGGAGGGAAGGGGTGACTAGTGACAGAGTAAGGGAGGGAAGGGGTGACTAGTGACAGAGGGAGGGAAGGGGTGACTAGTGACAGAGTAAGGGAAGGAAGGGGTGACTAGTGACAGAGTGAGGGAGGGGGTGACTAGTGACAGTCACCCTCACTCTGTCACTAGTGACCCCCTCCCTCCCTCACTCTGTCGCTAGTCACCCCCTTCCTCCCTCACTCTGTCACTAGTCACCCCCTCACTCTGTCACTAGTCACCCCCTCCCTAACTCTGTCACTGTGAAACCCCTCCCTCACTCTGTCACTCATAACCCCCTCCCTCTCTCTGTCACTGTGTCACCCCTCCCTCCCTCTGTCACTAGTCACTCCCTCCCTAACTCTTTCACTGTGTCACCCCCTCCCTCACTCTGTCACTAGTGACCCCCTCCCTCACTCTGTCGCTAGTCACCCCCTCCCTCCCTCACTAGTCACCCCCTCCCTAACTCTGTCACTGTGTCACCCCTCCCTCACTCTGTCACTAGTCACCCCCTCATTCTGTCACTAGTCACCACCTCACTCTGTCCCTCATAACCCCCTCCCTCTCTCTGTCACTGTGTCACCCCCTCCCTCCCTCTGTCACTAGTCACTCCCTCCCTAACTCTATCACTGTGTCACCCCCAGAGTGAGGGAGGGGGTGACTAGTGACAGAGTGAGGGAGGAGGCGACTAGTGACAGGGATGTGACTACTAGTGACAGAGGGATATAGAAACATAGAAACATAGAATGTGACGGCAGATAAGAACCATTTGGCCCATCTAGTCTGCCCAATTTTCTAAATACTTTCATTAGTCCCTGGCCTTATCTTATAGTTAGGATAGCCTTATGCCTATCCCACGCATGCTTAAACTCCTTTACTGTGTTAACCTCTACCACTTCAGCTGGAAGGCTATTCCATTCATCCACTACCCTCTCAGTAAAGTAATGCTTCCTGATATTTTTAAACCTTTGTCCATCTAATTTAAGACTATGTCCTCTTGTTGTGGTAGTTTTTCTTCTTTTAAATATAGTCTCCTCCTTTACTGTGTTGATTCCCTTTATATATTTAAATGTTTCTATCATATCCCCCCTGTCTCGTCTTTCCTCCAAGCTATACATGCTAAGATCCTTTAACCTTTCCAGGTAAGTTTTATCCCGCAATCCATGAACCAGTTTAGTAGCCCTTCTCTGAACCCTCTCTAAGGTATCAATATCCTTCTGAAGATACGGTCTCCAGTACTGTGTACAATACTCCAAGTGAGGTCTCACCAGTGTTCTGTACAATGGCATGAGCACTTCCCTCTTTCTACTGCTAATACCTCTCCCTATACAACCAAGCATTCTGCTAGCATTTCCTGCTGCTCTATTACATTGTCTGCCTACCTTTAAGTCATCAGAAATAATCACCCCTAAATCCCTTTCCTCATATGTTGAGGTTAGGACTCTATCAAATATTCTGTACTTGGGTTTTTACATCCCTTGGGTTTTTACATCCAAGATGCATTATCTTGCACTTATCCACATTAAATGTCAGTTGCCACAAATCTGACCATTTTTCTAGTTTACCTAAATTATTTGCCATTTGGCTTATCCCTCCTGGAACATCAACCCTGTTAAATATCTTAGTATCATCAGCAAAAAGACATACCTTATTAGCATCAAGACCTTCTGCAATATAACTAATAAAAATATTAAAGAGAATGGGTCCAAGTACAGATCCCTGAGGTACCCCACTGGTGACAAGTCCAAGCTTTGAATATATTCCATTAACTACAACCCTCTGGTGCCTGTCACTCAGCCACTGCCTTACCCATTCAACAATATTGGAATCCAAACTTAAAGATTGCAGTTTATTGATGTGCAACAGTGTCAAAAGCCTTACTGAAATCTAGGTAAGCAATGTCTACTGCACCACCCTGATCTATAATTTTAGTTACCCAATCAAAAAAAAACCCAATAAGATTAGTTTGGCATGATCTCCCAGAAGTAAACCCATGTTGTCTCTGATCTTGAAATCCATGTGTTTTTAGATGTTCAACAATCCTATCCTTTAACATGGTTTCCATCACTTTCCCCACTACTGAAGTAAGGCTTACTTATAGGCATATAGTTGCCTGACTCCTCCCTATTACCTTTCTTGTAAATGGGCACAACATTCGCTAACTTCCAATCTTCTGGGACTACTCCTGTTAACAATGATTGGTTAAATAAATCTGTTAATGGTTTTGCTAGTACCACTAAGCTCTTTTAATAGCTTTGGGTGTATTCCGTCAGGTCCCATTGACTTATTTGTCTTTACTTTTGACAGTTGAAATAGAACCTCTTCCTCTGTAAACTCACGTGTAATAAATGACTAATTTGGGGGCGTGGCCTGACCGCGAGGCCGAGCGGACGCTTGTGAGCTGAGCTCCCGCCGAACCGAGGCTTCATAGCCGACAATAGCACTACCAACGAGCACCAGCTACCCCGAGACCGCACCGGCAGCTGCGGCATGGACAAGCGGACCCCGCGGAAACCCCATAAACGGCTGTCGGAGACGGGCACCTCAGTGGCAGACCTGTTTGCAGTTTCCCGCGCAACCCAGCCTGCGAGGCAAGATGGCGACCACCCTAGCCCCAGGAGCACACGGTTTGCGGGAGCACACGGTTTGCCGGCCGGAGAGACCTCCCAGATATTGGCACAGCTACTGGAGGTCAAAGCATACCTGGCAGGGGAGATAAGCAGATCCGCGGCGGAGGTGAAGGCCGAGATCGCGGCACTTGGACCGCACGGTAACCCTGGAACACAGGCAAGAGGCAACAGTCCTGGCACACAATGAGGTAACATGTCGGGTGAATAGCCTCACAGCCAGGTTGATAGCAGCAGAGACAGCCCTGGAAGACTTAGCTAATCGTTCCCGCCGAAACAACATCAGGCTGCGAGGCCTGCCAGAAAAAGAGGGGGAGGGGGACCTGACAGACACAGTCATGGCGATCCTAAAACCCCTAGCACCAAACATTCCAGCCCAACTGTGGCATCTTGACCGGATTCACAGGGCCCTGGGAACCAGGAAGATAGATGCCAAACAGCTGAGAGATATCATCATGCGCTTCCAACATTTCCAAACGAAAGAAACTATAATGAAGAACAGCAGAGAAGGCCCTATCAGGTATAAAGGGAACACTTTATTACTGTTCCAGGACCTAGCCCCAACGACACTCCAGAGACGCAGAGAATGGCGACCGATCACCGACATCCTCAGAACCCACAACATAAAATATGCATGGGGCCATCCCTTTAAGCTTATGGCGTTCAAGAATGGCAGACCAAAGATCCTGCCACCTGATGGTGATGCAGTGGCATTTCTCCAGGCGCTAGACCTCCAGGCTCCGCCAGACCTGCAATGGCGGACGGCGTATCCGACAGACCTGCAACTGCTACCCAGAGAATGGCATACAGCGGGGGAAAGAAGGCACACACCGTAGAACGGACACACACCAGGCACCCGCACCAGGATCGCCTCACCCAGATGGACATCTCCAGGAGGGTGAGATGACAAGGGACATGAGGGACGGGTATTGACTCACCCCCACCTCCTGGTTTTGATACCACCAAAGCCCACTACGGGGGGTTTCCCTATCCTTGGGTAAACACAACAAACACATCCTGTATCCACAAACACTAGGGTGGGTGGGGAGGGAACAAAAGGGGGGACAAGTGGAGGGGGATAAAAAAAAAATAATTTGCCCCCTTTCTGGTTTTTTTTTCCATCCTAACAAGGAACGCGATGGCAGACTGCCGCAAGATAATGTGACGACAGAACACTTTTGGGAGTGGGATGCTGGACTCATCTAAAAAGAGGACATGAAGCCGCTTTTGTGGCGGTGGGGGTGCTGCTGGGGGGGGGATGGGGAAACCAGATTTTTATGTTGTAAGATTGACAGATTGACATTAGCGACTCTAACCCCTGCTGCCCCCCACCCCCACCATGTCTACACACATACACTCCCTAAATGTTAAGTGACTAAATGCCCCAAAAAAGCGTAGACTGTTATATAGAGAACTTAAGAGACTAGGCCCAGATGTGGCCTTTTTACAAGAAACCCACCTACCCAAGACCCTGGGCAAGGATCACATTTATAGCACAGGCTACGAGGCTAGGTTACACTCCAAACGCAACGGTGTAGCGATACTAATACATAAACGATGCCCACTGCGAGTCACGGGGGTCCACACAGACACGGACGGCAGATACCTTATCCTGACAGGGACGCTATTTGCTCACACCATCCATCTCAAACATTTATGCTCCCACAGACCTTTCTAGTGATTTCTGGGACCAATTGGCTGACAAATTAAAAACCCTGCCTCATCGTATGCTTATCATGGGGGGCGACTTTAACGCCGCCCCATGCCCAGCTATAGACAGAGGCACCATAAGAGGTTTACCACGCTCACACGGCAGGGGGAGACCAGACAAACTGATTCACGACTTCCTCTGCTCTACGGGTCTGATAGATGTGTGGAGGGCCCACCATCCGGGAGAAGCAGACTATACGTTCTATTCTGCGCCACATGACTCGTACTCCCGTATTGACTACTTTTTAGTAAACGATCACGCCATTCCAAAGATCACGAAGTCCACAATAGGTTCTATCACGTGGTCAGACCATGCAGACATCAGATTAGAATTAGGAAACCTCTGCACCAAAACTCAGTGGAATTGGAAGCTCAATACTTCCCTATTGCAAGACCCTACTATTAGAGAGACTATTCGCAAAGAGATAGTAGAATATTTCCAACTCAACTCCTCCCAAGAGCTAACTCCCGCTACGGTATGGGCTGCTCACAAAGCGGTTATCAGAGGCACACTAATAAGGGAAGCCACCAGGAAAAAGAACCTGAAAACACAACGCCTAAAGTCCCTCCTACGTGACTTACATACACAAGAGCAGAGACATAAAACCAACCCCACCCCAGATGGGATTCTGGCCCTACAGACTACCCGACGCCATATAAAGGAGACTTTAGTGGCCGACGTAGTGAAGGCTATGCTCTGGTCTAAGAGAACATATTATGAACAGGCTAAAAAAGTGCACACGTTTCTGGCCCGCACCCTACGCTCACGCCCACGCCCATGCCGAACACATATCACCACAATCAGAGATCGCACAGGTCAGATCAAAACTGCACCGGCAGACATAGCTCGGATATTCAACAAGTTTTACACTACCCTATACAATCACACACCCACCGAGGCTGACAAAACACCGC